CACTCACTGGATGGCTCCCCAGTGTCTGACAAGCTCCCACCTGGATATTCTGCCTTAGCTTTAAAACTGGCCACTTAGAAAAATAAGTTAATTTTTTCCAGGTACATGTTTGTTTAATTCTACACCATAGTGACCCGATGCATAAAATCCGCCTCTGGGTAGAAGACGTTAAGAAGGGTGTTAATAACCTAGATTGGAACCCACTCTTTTTTCTGCCTTTCTTGGGTCTCCCTGGCCTTTTGCTGTTAATCTCTCTTTAATGGTACCATGTTGATGTATCTCTTTTTCCTGTATTTCACAAATGCCTTTAAAATGAGCTAATAGTGATTTAAATACATACAGAGAGGTGGGCCATGCGCTCATGACCCCATTCAAAAGGAGTTTGATCTCAGACCATCGAAGCCTCATTATCTTTCTCACATTTTCAATACTTCACTGTCGAATCAGCTTTTATATATAACCTTGTAAGGTTATGGATCATATTTGTAAAGTTCCTTCCTTTAGGGAACTAAGAAAATTTACCATCGTATGGTAATAATGTTTTTACCCAAGGGTGTATTTATAGCTCATTTAGTTTAAGTACATTTGGCTTACATCACTTGAGACTAAAAAGCAAATACAAATTTGCATGTTTTTAAAAACCACTTCAGGGAATTTTTTTCTCATTTTAAAAGTTTAGCTGGTTTGGATTGAACCCAAGTGAGATTAGCAGATACTTCTCTCCTTCTGGCACGTTCAGGAGTTCTCTCCAGACGTGTCCTGAGTTGCTCTGCCTTCTTCTTACATTGCAATGTCATGAACAGTGAGGGAGAGGACTCCCGTAACTGTCCAGCTGGAGAAGGTGAGTGAGCAGAACTTACGCTCAGCAGAGAAGATGGCACATCTCCTCCAGCTTCTCACTGTAAATAGGATGTGAGTCTCCTTTTTTTGGCAAAACTGTGTATTTCACACACGTCACCATTCCCGGCGGTGCCCTGTGGATGGGGTGCCTACTGCCCCCCATACCGGGCGCCCACCCTTCCCTTCCTTTTGCTTTATCTCCAGGGTTGGTGTCCAACGGACGTGAACACCCCCACTGACTCTTTTCGGCTGGACTCTGCCGTGAACAGAACCAAAGTCCTTCCTGTCCCCAGAGATCCCCACGCCACGTCTCTGTCAGTGACGCCGAGTCCCTGAGCTTGGAAGTTTGATCTTTGACACATTTTTTATTTCCATGTTGACTCTGACAATTTCTACTTTTATTCATTTAATTTTTTGGAGTGTTGATTATTGGCAAACAGTCTCATATTCATAGAAAGAAGGAAGCCACATGGAACACCTCAAGATGCTCACAGAAAATGCCTTCTAAAGTCTTAGCTGCATTTGGTCAGCGTCTTTTTCCTTTTTTAACAGGAGGACTGAGGACGGAACCCAGGCGTCGTGCGTGCTGAGCATGTGCTCTACCACTGAGCTCTACCCCAAAAGTAGACACTACACTATTTGATGTTCCCTCTTCCCAGTATTATTAAACTCTGGGTTTTAGTCCCACATCCTTATTTTTAAATTATGATTTCAACTTGAAAGTAATTGTATTTTTGTCATATGCCTTAAATGTTGCCATGTGATTTGTACAAGTGTTTAGCCTTAACTCTTTTAATGAGCTCCAAGGATTAACAACCCTGTTATTTTTGTCCCGTGATAAAAATCTTAATTTCCTTAAGTTCGGGATTTGTAGATAAAAACTCCTATATATAAAATAGATGAACAACAAGGTCCTACTGCAGAGCACAGGGAACTACAGTCAATATCTTATAATAGCCTGGAATGAAAAACAGTATGAAAAGGAATGTATGTATATCCACAACCGCATCACTGTGTTATACACCAGAAATTAACACAACATTGTAAATTGACTATACTTCTACAAAAAAAATTTTTGATCATAATTACGTGGAAAATGTGTTAATTTTATTGTTGAGCAATAATTGTTTTTTTTCTTTGTTTGTATTTATTTTTTATTATTATTATTTTTTTAAC